GAACAATTTTCAATTATTATGACTATTTGAATCATGGGGTATCCCTAAAAGAATAATGAACCATTAGAGGCTAGAAAAGGCTTCTGTATTAAGTGTTAAGATCTGTAGATCTACTAACACCTCTTTGGGCAGGATTTCTAGAAATTTTAAATACGGAGTTGGCAGAAAATCAACTTTATTAGTACATTTTTTCCAATATGACCTAGAACCCTCAGATTTGTTTATAGGAAACAAATACATATCTGGCTGATGAGGAGACTCGGTGGGTAAAGGGCTAAAGGGCTTGTCACATAAGCATGGGACTCTGGAAATTCCGATTTCCAGAACCCACAGAAAATGTTACTTATGGCAGCCTGTGCCTGAGACCACAGCCTCAAAACTAAGGGGCAGGAACAAGGAGATGCCTGAAGCAAACTGGTCAACCAACCTGCCCGAATAGTGAGAACTTCCAGTTCAGACTCAGTTAGAGATCTTATTTCAAGCTGGAGGACAATAAAGAAGACACTGAAGATAGAGTGTTAGCTTCCACATGCAACTACACATGGTACATGTGTTCCAGCATGTATGTGTGTCCACAATAAGAGTAACAAGTACACGAACACAGACACACAGACATCCATGAGAACACACACACACACACATATTCTCTCTCACTCTCTCTCTCTCTCTTACACACACACACACACACACACACACACACACACACACACACAATTAGCTCCATATCTTCTTTTCTATGCATACAACTTCCCTGTCCCCTTCTCAACCTTGTTTTGCCTTAGCTGTTTTTATCCCACTGGGTACTTTGGCCTTGTTGGAGGACACATTGATCGTTGTAGGCATGATACAATTTGCTAAATGGTGTTCTACTTATGGAAATGCCTGTGAAGAGCCCTGAGGGAACAAAAGAATTAACTAAACATGTATTGATCTTGTCATATCTGCTGATTTTCTTATTTGGCCAGTCTAGGACTCTGGTCTCTCTTGGTCTGTGATACAGAAAGCTGGGGACATTCTTTGGGTTCCATGGCGGTTTTGAAGCTACACTATGGCAGCAACTGCTTTAAACAAAGTCTCATTTGAAGAGACACCCCAGTACAGTGTGGAACTTAAGGAATTTGGAGAGAGGGGCCTTGAGAATGGGCCAACAGCTTTGAAAACAGCCCTGCCTGGGAACTGATAGACAATGGAGCACTTGATAAGACCAACAAAAAAAATCAATGTGATCTGACCTACTGTGAGCTAAAGACCTGGAAACCACTCTAGTAAGCACCAAAAGCACCTACTATGTACAGTGCTTAAAGAGAGGAAAAGCTTCAGTGCTGAGGAGTGTCCAAGGAGGACTACAGCATAACCATGAAAACCAAGCTGACTTTTTGTTTTAAAAATGTTCAAGTCTTACGCACATATTAAATTCTAAAAGGCAATAGATAGACTTCACTGAACGTAAATGCACAAATCAGACCCCTGTGTACTTCTATATAAAAGTATGGGGGAGGGGGAATGAAAGTTCACCTTAATAATGCTGATCTTGCATTAGGCAGAGCTAGGGAAATGGTTGGGACCATGTTCATTCTGGGAGATGGTAGCTCTGGCCTCTGCTCCTCTGTTGTTTGCTTGCTTTCTCTGCTCCTGCCATCTCTTTCTCTCTTTCTTCCTCATTCTTTCATTTTGAGCCTGTCTGAACTGGCACTTGACAATTCTGTCTTCTCCTATGGGTGTCTCTCATCTATCCAGTGAAACCCAGGCCTGTGTAAAGGGTGGAAGAGAACAAGATGAACAGACAGAATGCTTAAAGACAGAATGTAAAACCAGACAGCACACACACGGACCAGGAGAAAGACTTGGAATTCAGAGGATTGGGTGGCTGTACTCTGACACCTTGGGAAAAGGAAGAGATGAACTCAACACCAAGTTCTTTGGTGGGGGTGGGGGTGTGTGTGTCAAGGCTAAAAAAGTGATGACTCTGCAAAAACCAAGTGGCTCCTGATGCTGGTTTCAGGTTTGGGGAGCTGGGGAAGGTCATGGAAACCAGCACAGTGAAATGCACATTGAGGTCCTGAATCTTATGGAGCATTAGTACATAGAGACTTGTAAATATGAACCAGGGCCAATCTGAGACCTTGAGAGGTGTAAGGCAGATGCTATAGCAGGAAGCAAAGCTGAATCCAGTGAATGCATCCTGTCTCTGTAACTTCAGCATCATGTTTATCCATCTTATTTGCACAAGATATAGCCTGGAGATTTATAACCACTTTCTGTTTATCTGATGTAGGCTAGGTGATTCCAACTAGGAGATTCAAGATGGGGGTAGACTTTAGGGAACTAGGTCCAACACATGGATAAGAACCAAGTTGTGAATGGTTGGTTCTCAAGGTGCTACGCTTGAAATTAAAAGCATCTGTAAGAGGCAGTGAGGCAGGGCTAGGAGCAGAAATGGAGAAAGGGAGCTTCCCAGTGTGATGGAGTCTGGTCCTGGTAGTGCCTGGAGGAGAGGAAGAGAAGCAAGTGGGACTTTCAGGATGACTTAGTGAAGGGTGCTCTTGGCCTCAGCTCAGCGGGAGTCACTGCAGAGGGACTCCCATAATTTTATTTCAGTGTTTCCAAGGCCAAGGTCAGTTCTAGTTACTGGAAGTCCTCTGCTTCCACGGGTCCTCAGGCCTGTCCACTTGGCCATATTGAGTTTGGTGTTGTGGTTTGTTTAGAATGAGATTGTAATGGCATCAAGTATAGTTTGTCATCACTGCCTCCCTTCACACCAAGTTAGCCCTTAGATTTCTTCCATGACTCAGATGTTGAGTAGCTGGATGCCATCTGTATTAGGTGCTTTCCCCATTGCTTTGACACGAGGAAAGGCAACTGGAGGAAAGGAGGGTTTCCTTCTGCCCACAGTACAAGGGTATCATACAGTCCACTGTGGGGAAGGACCTGATACCAGGAGCTGGAGGCAGCTGGTCACATCACATCTAGAGTTCGGAAGCAGTGATGAATCCTGGGCTCAGCTCACTGTCTCCTTATCCTATCCTGAGTTCCAGTCCCTGGGATGATTCCATCCACATTCAGGTTGGGCTTCTCACCTCAATTCACTCAGTTTAGAAATACCCCCCAAAGACTTGGGGGATGCTTATCTCCCAGGTCAGTAGAGTTCCTGTTGAGTTGACAATCAATATTACCTACCACATTGCTTGAGTAAATTCTTTCTGTTACTGAGACCCAAACTTACTAGTTGATAATTACTAATCCCTCATTGCAGTAACTCAGTGTTAGGCGAGAACCAAGCTAAGTTTTTTCGGTAGGATAATTTAAAAGATGTAATGATTTTTATTGATGTGTATTGTATGTGTCTGTACGAGTTAATGATGCCATGTGTGTGAAGTTGCTAGTAGGATCTAGAAGAGGGCATCAGGTCCTTCAGAGTAAGTTATGGGCAGTTGTCACCCTCAACATGAGTGCTGGAAACTGAGCTTGGGTCTCTACAAAGGCAACTTCAGAGTAAGTTATGGGCAGTTGTCACCCTCAACATGAGTACTGAAAACTGAGCTTGGGTCTCTACAAAGGCAAAGGACACACTTTACCACCACTGAGCCCTTTCTCTAACCCCATATACTAGTCTTGAAGAACGTGCTCATCCCTGCTTTTGAGTGACATTCTGGATTCCATGTGAAAACTATGGGATTCTTAGAAATAGCACTGTCAGTAGTGATGGTCTACCACAAATGTCAACATATGACCTTGTCAGTGGTTCTAGTGAGCTGGTCACTTACAGCAGCCATGTCTACATCAACTCACTAAGGTCTTTAACAGACACTGTGACCAAGAGAGCTATCATCATTTTGTTCATGTTAATGACACTGCTGTTCTTTAGAGAGGTTAAGTCACCATCTAAAGGTCACCCAGCCAATAAGATAGGTGGCAAGAACTCAACCCAGGCATTCTGTGTAAACTGAGATCTGAAGATGACCTGCAGGAAAAGGGATGAAATAAAATAATGATATAGTTACTAAATTCAATATGTATAAGTGCAATTACCTTTATATCACATACATCCCAAGCTTGGTAGAGCAATTTTATTATTTCAATTTTGACATACAATGTTTTGACTGATTATAGTGGAGAAGCCAAAAATGAAGAGAAGCCCAGCATGCCCAGGGCATATCAGGCAGTACCTATAGAGATTTTTAGCTCTCGAATGCAAAGAATAGCTGCCATTAGAATCTAGTGGACAAAGGCTGCTTGCTAATAAACCTCCTACAGTGAACAGGACGGTTGTAATGCATCAATCCTCCTGTTCAGAGTCCCAGTCTCTAGGGTTGGATATTTCAAGTCGGTTATGATCTTTTGAAGCAGATCTTGATGAAAAGCAGCTTAAGAATTGGAAAAGGAGCTGAGACAGATATATTCGCTCGCTCACTCACTTGCTCACTCGCTCATTCATAGGACCAGGATGCTTAGAATGGTTCCCACACACCTAGAACTGTGTTCTACCATGGAAGAAGAAAAGTAGCCGACACAAGTTTCTTTGGAGAAAAGGATCGAACCAAAGAATAGGGAAGATAAAGAAGCCTGGCTGTTAGAAGCAAGGCAGAGCACCAGAACCAAACCATCTTAGTGCAAGAGGGAAGAGGATGACGTGCTAATTTAGAAGCATACAGAGAGCCAGTCTGATGAGGAACAAAAATCATAGCTGAGGGTGTCGGCCAAGAGTGCCTGCTAGTTCATTGTCTGCAATGCATGGCTGCACTGATCCAAAGTTCGGGCCAGAGAGAGGAAAAGCACGTGATGCTTATGGTCTCAGAACGACATGGAACATGGTACTGGTGTGTGTGTGTGTGTGTGTGTGTGTGTGTGTGTGTGTGTGTGTGTGTGTGCATGTGTGTGAGCATGCACATACATGCGTGTGTTAGAGAGGCCAAGCAACTTGCATTACCTTTAGTGAGTGCTGCTGGCCCTGGCTTCTGTTTGTCCAATAACAGTTTGTTTTGTTTTTCTTCTGCTTGCAGCAGTCCTATGCACCAGCTCCCCACCCCATGGCTCCTCCCAGTCCCAGCACAAACAGCAGCAGCAACAGCAGTGGGGAACAGTTGAGTAAGACAAACCTATACATTCGAGGACTTCCACCAGGCACCACTGACCAGGACCTCATCAAGCTATGTCAACCGTAAGTGTCCTGAGGCTCCCTGGGCCTGTTCTGATGCACACATCACCTATGGGGACACACCACGGGCTGCTGTACGCACTGCAGACTCAATGAGGAAGCTTCTTTTACATAAGTGTGTGGGGGGAAGGTATATTTGGGGACTTTCTCCAGCTTCCTTCAGGGAGCAGGGTTTGGTACATGGCTATGGAGGAGAGTTTCTCAAACAGATGGCTTGGGAACCGGAGCTGAGTCATGTGTATTGACCCTGAAAGTCAGAGAGTGACAATAGAGATGTGTTCTTCACCAATGAAGCTAGAGACAAGGGTTGGTGATGGGTGACTTTGGTCATGGAAGGAGCTGGATTAGAGAGAGGTGTCGAGGATGCAGGTGATTGCAGGATGCTGTCCTGCCTGGGCCCCGAAGCATTTCTAGCCATACTTGGTAAATGCAGGTTTAACCAGGACCAGATAATTTTTCCCTTTAATTTCCCTAGAAGTAGCTATTCCCATGCCTCATGACTCTATTTCCCATCCAAGCCAAGAGCCCTTTGATGGAGTCCTTCTGTATTTCCCAAGATAGATAGAAATGATTGAGCTTTCATCCAACAATATTTTCATTAATTCCTTATCTATAAGCAAACTTATTATTATCACACCCATGTATGTACAACTATGTTACCACTGCATGGGTTTTTTTTCCAATAAATAAACTCAGTAACAAATCATGAATTAAGAACCACAGGCTGGTGTTTTTAGATTTCTCTCTTATCATTTTCAAAATCTCATTGATACAAATATCTGTGACTTGATTGTCGCACAATATTTTTAGATTTGGGGGAAGCTACTACTCAGTTGCCCCTTTTCTCCTTTGTAACCTGGTTGCTATTTATTCTGTAAAGTTTCCAACCTCTAAACCATCAGAAGGAGAAAACACAACAGGCAGTATTTATTTGCCATCACTGTGAATTGAAAAGATGAGAGTTCACATCTAGACAACAGATAATGGCAGACAGACATAAACAAACCTCCAAAAAGTCATAACCAGATAATTAGGTAATAAGACAATAGGTGGATTTAGAGAAACACACCCTGTTGCTACTGTCTTCTTGATTTGTGCAAGATGTAGTATAGAATTGAGCAGAGAAAATATTTACTTAGAAGACATTAGCTTTATTTTTCTAATATTAGAATTACCACGGTGGAGGCATATGGACATTTGTTAATTTTTATTTCACAAAATATACAGGGGTTGAGAGTCAGAAGGTAAATAGCTTGTCAGAAAGATGTGTACTCTTTTGGAAAGTAAGGTCTTTGAAGATACGAAAGTCGATGGCTTTCTGGTTAGGCTTGCAGATAAATTCTGTTTTCATTGGATCATTGAGTCATATTCAAAAGGCTCATTTTCTGGGCATTTTGTAGAGAGTCTTTCTGGTTGTTCTGTGTGATCCGTGATGTTCTGAGTCAGAGAGACTCGGCTTCACTGGGTCTGGAGAGAAAATCATGAGGTGAACATTTCCCACAGGCCTTCTCATCTGGCAGATGCTTGTGGGTGGTCGGCAAAACTCTTCTCTCATGGATTCATGAGGACCACTGGCTGCTCTGTTCCAGAGCATCACTGTGACTGTGAGGACAAGCAGGGGTGGCCACTCAGATTGCCACAGCCCTGGTTGGCCATTTCTGTTTCCTCCTTAAAAAGAGTAAGGTGAAGACCAAAGACCAGAGTTGTAGCTCAGTCAGTAGAGTGCGTTGCTTTGTAAGTGTGGAGACCTAAATTCTCCTGACCTCGAACCCACGTGAAAGATGAGGAATGCTGGTGCACACTTGTAATCCTGTTCTAGGGAGATCAAAGGAAGAGGATCCCCAGGGCCAGACAGCTTAGCCTACTTGGCAAGGTCTAGGATGGTACCTGAGCTTAACTTTTTGGTCTCCACATAGATGCATACAGGTGTGAACACCCACCCTACAACATACATGCATATATATACACACATACACACATACTCACATATGGACATGTACATATACACCTCATCATACCCCTACCACTCAAAAACACAAAAGTTGTTGGACTTTTCTTTTTCTAGATTTTTCTTTGTAGTTTTTGTGATGCACTTAAACTGCCTCTGAACAATGCATCAGAATCCATTCAATATTCTAGAATTCTGGAAGAACTTTGCTACGTATTTGGTAGCTTGGACTCAGCCATGGCTGGGGATGTGTATAATATAGGAACTGGTAAAGCTCACATATCAGAGCTTTCTGGAACTTTTATTTTACTACAGAGCTGGTTCACAGACATGCCACTGTGGCCACAACAGAGCAAAGATTGCTCTGTCAGCTTCCATCTCTGTAAAGCATTGCTGGCTTATTTTTGAAATGGAAAGCATGACCTAAGTCCTGTGTTTGGCTGGAAAGATGTGGTGGTCAGAAATGCACAGGAGAATAAAAGTCTTGCTGATGTTTCTAACGTATATTTGAGAAGTTGCAAGGTTGTTATCGAAGCACAAAGCAATGGTTCACCATATGCATTAATAGTTGCTGGCTAATAAGACTTAGCTAATGGTCAGGTTACTATAAAAACATTTTTTGGGTTCTCTAGTCACTGAAGTGATTAGGACCTGGTATTAATTGCTTGTAATAGTTTCCTTATAGAATCTTAGAGAATAATTATGACTACTCAGTATAGTGGAAGTAATTGTGTATGAAGACATCTGGCTCCCACCCCCACCCCCTAGGTATGTCATCAGTAAAGTCTGTGGCCTTAGGCAATTCAAAGTGTGGATTTGAATTGAAGCTATTTATATTTTTTTTAACTCTGAAATTCTGTGGGTGGGGTCTCATTTGGAACTCTCCTGTGTCCATCCTGTGTCTCTTTCTCTTGTCTCTCTATCCAACACTGGCACAGCCTCAGCCTGGCGTCGCTAACCACTGTAAGAGTCGCTGGCTGGGTGGGGATGCTCTTGCTGAGAGACAGACACAACTCATTTGGAAAATCTTGTCTCTTCTTTTACAGCCTTAGTTCCCTAGGGTGCATATTATTTGTATGTTTCTCTTTCAAATTTGACATTTGTATCAGGGAATCCAACATTTTAAGATATGAAAAAAGGTATTTGCAAGATTTTTGTTTTCTGTTTTGAGACAATGTCCAAGGCATTCTAGGATGGCTTCAAAGGTGATGTTAAAGCCAAGATGTTCACGAACATCCCCGATATCCCTGCCTCCGCTTCGTAAGTTCTGGAATTGATTACAGGTGTGTACCACCACCACATCTGTTTTATGTGGGGCCTGGTATCAAATCCAGGGCTTTAGGTATGCTAGACAAAGCTGCCAGCTGAGCTGTGTCCCAGGCAGGAATTGCAGGGTTATGCAAACGTTCTGTGCTCCCAGTTACCATGCTAATTCCTGTGAAGTTACAGGTACTTCTAAAGTTAATACACCTTACATGACAGGAAGTGTAATGACTCCAAGTATTGGTGAGATTAAAATGATAGAAAAACAGTTATTCAAAAGCAGCGTAAATATATTGACTTTTCTGGTATTAGGATATGGCACCCGTGTGAATGTTAATGTACAACAAGACAATGATATAAAAGAAAATAAATGCAGTATGCTTCAATGTGTAATATGAAAACAAATTTTTAATGACACCCAACCCCACCTTCTTGTATTCAGATGAGAAGTAAAAATCACAGGGAAAGGGTTAAGGCCGAAGGATAATAACCAGGAAGACAGATTTTTTTTTTCTTTTTGCTCTATGGAAATCTCTAGTTATAGCCATATCTTAGATAAGTGCCTGGCTGTGTGTGTTTAGTAGGAAACAGAACCTTTTGTATCTTTTTTAAAAGCTCAAAAGATGAACTACTCTTACCCAGATTCTTAGTAGAGAAATGTTTACAAGACAGACATGGTCCTGCATGCCTGTAATCTCAGCTCTTGGAAGGAGGAGGAAGAAGGCAGAGGGATCAGAGTCAATCTTGGCAACACAGAAAGTTGAATGCTAGTCTACAGGATGCAAGACCCTGTTTAACAATAGTAACAATAATAAAAACAAAAAGCAATCAAGAAAAGGATGTATTTACATAACACATCCAGCATGTTGGCAGAGACACAGTATAGATAAAGCCTTTGCCTTAACCCAGCTTTTCTCTTACTGGGGAAAGAGAAGTGTGGATCAAATAAGCATTTGGCTTGAAATAAAATGGTATCCTTAAATTCAGAGATGAAGTTTGTCACGTCTTAGTTCATAAGATGCCCTCAGATAGCCACCACTGAAAAGACAACAGTTAAGATCCTAAGGGTTAATCACTTTGATGAGGAACAAAAGGAGGGGCTTCCCAGGCACAGGGAACAACTTACTTGTAGTCGCCATATCTGTCTGAAATCCTGCAAGGACAAGAGCTTGAAAAGGTCAATGTGACCACAGCGAAGGGCAGCCAGAATCAGAACACGGTGAACCTGCAGCCCAGAGGGGAACAAGTCCTCTCTGGAGAGGAAGCCACAGAGTGGTCATAGGCAATCTCATTTTAGTTTGAAAAACTTTAGCTGCAGAGTGAGAAGGAGGTCCCTTGAAACTGCTGGTCATTCAGAACAGGTGTGTCTGAAGAGTCAGTCAGAAGCCAGACTCACCAGCATCCAGAGAAGTCAAGAATGAGCATTGGATGGTGGTGATGGCAGAACCCTTGGGTGGGAGGAAAGAGGTACTGTACACTTTTGTGCTGGTCCTAGGGGTTAGATTTAGCGTCCTGTATAACTGAGGTGAGGCAAGTTCTTTACACCTGAGATGTTTTCTCAGCCCCTTTGACTTTACTTAGGAACTCTGTCTAGAGTTTTGCAGCTAGCTGGTCTAGGACTCTGCCTGTCACCCAAGGGACCTTGAATTTGCAACCCTATTGACCAAGGCTCCCAATTAGCTGGTGTTATCGACTGCACCACAATCCACAATTGTATTCATATTTTTTAAATTAAAAAGCAAAGTAAAACAAGGCCTTGAGAGACCAGTAGCTTCTAAACAAACACACAAAA